CTAGGTGGCACTGCCAGCTCGCAAGGATGTGCCAGTCCCGGGCGGGACGCCACGCCCTGCCAGTCCCGCCCGTCCCCCGGGAGAGGAAGGACCGGGAGCCTGTTTGTCTCACTGGCGGCCACTGCCCGAAAGCCCCATCTCGCCGGGCCGGAGAGGCGCGTGCTCATCTAGACTTGGCCTTTCCCAGGAGGGAAACTATCGCTCAGTGGAACAGAGACGTGAACGTGACCGCGCTCTGCAAGGGTCGCGGCTCCCCGCGCAGCCCTGGGGGGCTGCAGCCCCCAGGTCCTGGAAAGTCCTGCCGAGTAGGGACTCAGTGATGGGCCGAGGAGTCCGGTCCAGCATCCTGGATGTACACAGGTATTTCAGTTGTCATGAATTCCGGGTGATGAATTCCGGCCCTTCGGTGTCACGGCCAGTAAATCGTGTCCACATCCAGGGATGTGACTGAGTTAGTGCAGGCAGCACGTAAAGTGGGAGAAAATAGCTACAGATCTTATTTCTGATAAGGGGTGAACATCCAGGATAGATAGAAAAAAGTTTGACAACTCAGCAATGGGAACAAGAAGCAAACAACCCCTTTCAAACAGCAAGACACTTGAAAAGATACTTCTTTAAGGTGTACAGGTGGCCAATAAAAGATAAAAAGATGCTCAACACCATTTGTCATTGGGGAAATGTCAATCGAAGCCACAGTGAAATACTAACCCCACAGCTACTAGGATGGCTGTTCTCAAAAAACAGCCAAAATGTTGGCTAGAATGTGAAGTTAAAACTTTGGTGTACTGTTAGTAGACAGTAACACATGGATGAACCTTGTGGGCATTATGCACAGTGAAATAAATTGGATACAAAAGGACAACTATCAAATGGTTGCTCTTATATAAGGCACGTGAAGTAGGCAAAGTCACAGATTCAAAAAGTAAAATAGTGTTTATCCGGGGATGGAGGCAGGAGGAATGGGGACACCTTCAGTCTGGATGATGTAGAAGTTCTAGAAATGCATAGTGTGGAAGGCTGGGCAACGTTGTGAATGAATTGTGTATGTCCAAGTGGTTAAAATGATACATTTTATGAGATTTATATTTTACCATACTAGAAAAGCATAAGCCGAGTACAGAATAACCAGCCTAATTTATTACTGAACAAATTAGATTCAGCCTGGTGCAAGAAAAATGTAACTTTACTCTCCCACTTATTTCAAATTTTATAGTTGTTCTGAACTGTCCTTTTATGACATTTTGAGGCCCCAAAGTCTTTCTGGACATTTCTGGCCAGTGTGTAGTGGCCAGTAGTTTAGCTTCTCCAATTTCCTTGTCCACTACCTTTAGATGTTGCTCTGCCCGCTCCAGGATTTTGGGGAAATGCCTTCCTTGGTTGGTCAAGTTGTCATCTGATGCCAGTGACCTCTGTCTGCAACAGATTTTTTTTTTAAAGATTTATTTATTTGTGCATACAGAACTGGGGCCAGAGATGCGGAGGGTGAGAGGATTCACCAGAGACAGAGTGGGGTACAGAACAGGCAGATCTACAAGGTACACTGCTGAGGGGAGCAGCGGGCAGGGCAGGAGAGGTCTGCCCCGCCCTGTGGTCACCTCCAGGGCAGGCGGGGATGGAACTCAGGCGGAAGTGGCTTTAGCTTCTCAGTGCTGCGCTGTGACCCGCTGCGCCACCAGGGAGGGCCCTGCAACAGATTTTAAGAGGGCTGTTTTTTCTTCTAGGGTGATTTGTGGGTTCTTTATAGGACTTGAGATCACTGGTAATAATTCTCCAGCAACTCCCTTAGTGGGAACAGTCTAATTGTCAGATGGCTGCTTGGGGGTCCCTCGGATGCTAGTTACAGTCTGACATTAAGTACAGGTAGCCTGCAGGTGTCTTCTTCAGGATGGCCCTTACCAAGATGTGCCAGTTTGACTCCTCTGCTCATTCTAGCCTCCAGCTCTCTGAAAACATGTACGTTTCTTTCTCCACCAAATTCTGGGCATGGTCTGTGGTAGAGAACTGACCAGCTCCAGTCTTTTCCCATGGTGAACCTTTGGGTAGAGAAGTTCATGATTCTTTGATTACTCTGAAAACTCTCCAGAAATGCTCACAGCAGCCTCTTATATTACAGTATTGCCTGACTGCAAGCTAATTGTTGGTAAAATATTATGCAATGTCTTCTTCCTAAGAAGAGTCAAAGACCAGAAAAACTTCAATTGCAATTAGATTAAGTGGGTAGTATGTTATTGGACATGGCGATTCTAGGAAACAAGATGTATAAAAAGGCCTCATGTTGCTCAAATAATAACATTGTAAAAGCTTTTTCTCAATCAGGAATTAACTTTTCCTCATCTTGTTGGCTTGGTTGTTATATTTAATTAAAGAATAATGAGTAAAGGACGAAGAACCATTTTCTTCCCCATGACCTCTAAATATATCTTCATCTGTGATAGTAATGATGTGTGCTGAGGTGCAATTTTATCTTTAGAATTTCATGTTTCCATACCCAGCACAATACAAGAATAAAGGTGAACCTTACCGTCTATAGTATCTTGAGGTAGGCAAGAAGTTTGAGTCGATAAGAATACAGGAGGGACAAAATAATGGCCAGCTTTCTTACTTGATCTCTCCCCTCTTCTCCCCTTCTCAGTCAGTACTCATGTGCACAAAATTTATGGGGAAAGAGATTTCAACTTCCTCCTTATGTGGAATGTACGATGATAAAGAGATATTATGATGCAATAAGGACCATATGGTGGACACTGGTAACATTATGAGGTCAGGGATTTTCCTGAAATGTTTGTCTACAAGTAATGAATTACATCTAAGTTATTATTCCTCCCTGCTAGCATTCTAGGGACAACCCTATTCCTACCCAGAATATGGGATTTTGAGATCAAAGGAGTGAGATCTAGGGCAAATATTGAGACAGAAGGAAGGCATTGTAACAACTGGAAGGTTTTCCAAGTTGACAAATTTACACTGTAATTTCTGTACATAAATAAACATCTCCATGGATATCAAGAAAGGAAAGCGTCTGAGTACTGCACTTCAGGTTAACAATTTCAAATCATCCTTGAAGAACTTTGAAAAATTAATTGAACGTACAGCAGCTCAGAAAAGAGATGAAAGAGCAGGCTTATTTACTCAAAGAGAAGGTAAGATCAGTAATAACAGGACAGACCAGTTGGTTCTGTTGATTGGAAGTGGGAAGTGTTTTAAACCATCAGGGAGAAACAATAGAGCTTCATGACAAAGACAATGAATGGGAAGTCCCAAAGAGCCAGATGGATGTGAGGGAGCTTTATTTACTTTTCTGAACCTTAGTTGTCTAAGGCTTTCTAAGGCTTAGCATTTCTAAGGCTTCCTGTGGGCTCTGTTTGTTGGTTCCCTGGTTGACTTGGGACTTTTCACCCTGACATCTCTTTACTGAGGTGGTCATAGGGCCACAAAGACTTTCCCAGCAGGATAGAGTTTGCCATGTTCCACTGCCTGGGCTTATCCCCAGTCTTTAGATTGGAATGATTGCAATCATGTGCAAGTAAGGAGATTGCAGCGGATGCCAGTCTGGCCTCCACCTGGTCAGGGCTCGAGGAGAGCAGTGTAGTATGGATTTTCAAAGTTGGAAAACAGCAGTGAAGAGTAAGGCTTAACAGAGTAAAAGACTAACCAAACAACTTCTGATGGAATGAGAAGAACAGAGCTCACATAACTTAAAATTTCAGCATGGCTGGCTTTTAATATGCATTTATGCAGTACTTAATATGGACTCATGTCCATTTAACATGCTAATCTGTATAGTTATAAGCAAAAATTTTGATTTGAGTGTTCAAACCCAAACTGCTCATATCTAAACACTTTGATAATTTGTAAGTCACTATAATAAATATAATTTAAATGATTCTCATGACATTTCTATCAATAACAGACTGATAATGCTATTTTGCTGTTGTCCTGACTTTACTTGTGAAAATGGAGAGGTACAGATGAATCATCTGCCCACCTCACTCAGCTTGACGTGTTAGAGCTAAGTTTCAGACTTTAGATAAGCTTTTCAGTTGATTATATACTTGGCTAGATTTTCTACACTACTCAACAAACCTTTTATTTTTCTCTGGTCAGTTTATTTTGTCTCTGTGCAATTGATTTTCTAAATCCTTACCACTCTTTCTGAACCTTCTGTGACTCTTCTCAACCAAACTTCCATCATCATAACAGAAAGAAAGACCGAAAGATAAGAATTCTCTAGAACTCACTTTCCTCCACTTTTACTTTACTAAAATAATACTTCGCCTTTTTTACATCCTTCTTCCTCTCCAAGGCTATCACTTTGCTGTAGCAACTTCGAAATTTCCATTTCATTGAGTTTGTCTCAAACTAAAAGTCCTGCTTTACCATCCCTTCAGGTTATCACTGCATGTCTTTTCTTCTATACTCAGCTTCCCCACAGTATCATTTAGTTTTCATTCTTAAATGTGGATTCCCTCACCGCTTTACCGAAACCTTTTTTTTAAGGTTTGATTTGTGCATATAAGAACTGGGGTATAGGCCAGAGGTGCAGGGGGTGGGGTGGCAAGATTCACCAGAGAAGAGTGGGAAGTGGAACAGGCAGATTGACCAAAATACTTTGCTGAAGGGAGCAGGGGCGGGTCAGAAGAGGTCTGCGGTGGCCTGTGGGTCACCTCCCTGGCTGGAAATTGAACTCATGTTTTAGTGGCAGCTGACAGCTTCATAATGCTGTGCTTTAATCCCTTGTGCCACCAGGGAGGCCCCCACTGAAAAAACTCTTACCAAGGTATTTGATCACCTAAGAAGGGCTGTAAATGCTACAAATTATTTGCAATTTTTAGCCTTCACTGTATTAACAGTTGACTCTGCTGCCAGAAAATTTCCTCCTGCCTGTCTGTACACTCTCTTTGATCCCCTTTTTTTCTTGATATTTGTCATTTTGCTTCTCAGACTTATAGCGTAGACATCACATTCCTGTAGTATTCTAATCCAAATATCTTGCTATAACCATGACGGTTAGAGGACATACCACTCAAGGGTTATTGCACATTTATTACTATAATAGTCTTTGTCTACTCTGCTGAAAGTTTTTTCCTTTTAAAACCCACATCAAATGTCACTTCTGCAAACTTCCAAGCTTTCCCCAAGCAAAATCATCCTTAGCATTGTTAATACACTTTATTGTGAATGGAGGAATTTACAAGCTATACTTAGTATATGTATCTGTTGTTGCCCTGTGCCAATCACTGCACTGTGAATGGTTTGAGAAGAGCATTTCTGCAAGATTTTTATATCTTTTAGAAATGATAAAAGTGAGGGCCCTCTTTGGTTAAAGCACAGCACTATGAAGTTGTCCACAGCCACTGTAGCATGAGTTAGGTCCCTGGCCAGGGAACTGACCCACAGGGCTCAGCAGACCTCTCCTGACCCACCTGCTGCTTCCCTCAGCAGTGTGTTTCTGTTGGCCTGCTCTGCTCCCCACTCTGCCCTGGTGAGTCCTCTCACCCCCTGTATCTCTGCCTATACCCCAGTTCTTGTATGCATAAATAAATAAATCTTTTTTTTAATTTAATCCTAAAATATTCAATTTAAAAGAGTAGGGATTTTGTTATCTAGTTTTTCATTCTAAGTTCAGTGCCTAGTATGCATAGTACTGAAACACAACCGGTGTTTAATATACTTTTGTGTCTAATTTCTTCTTGCCCTTAGACTCAGCAGTCTTACCCCAGTGAATTAATAAGCTATCAAAGAATCAATGTATATTATTTTCTTATGAGTAACATTGTAGCCAAGGGAAATAATATATTTCCATTAAAAAGAGCTTTACTATGCAGAGCAATTTGGTTTTTATAAATTGAAATAATGAAATAAATTAACAAATAGGAAAAGCAGCTGAAAATGCAGTATGGAATTTGCAGTTTTATGACCATATTCTTGTACGATTGATTATGCAGATGTAATTGACTATGACAAGTTTTATGGAGCGGTGAAGGAACTCTTTGGTCCAGAAGTGAAAAATCAAGATGTGAAATGCTTTTATAGAAAACTCTGCAACAACCCTGATGCTTCTGTCGACTGGTGTGAGGTAGTCACGTTTCATGTTCATTACACAAAATGTAAATGTTCCCCTTTCTTACTTCAGAATAATAAATAATTTAATGAAGTTCTCCATATAGGGATGAAATTCACAATGTGTGTGTGGCAGGTTTCAGTGTCTTCATCTATAAAGTGTTTCCTTTCATAATATAAAACTTTACCTGTCTCTTCTGAACAAATGTATCTGGTATAGTGTCTCTTTAATATGTCCTCATGAAATTTTAGTAATTGGATGCTTTTAGCATCCTTTGGAAAATTTATGATTTATGGGTGCTTTTGTGGTAGGGGTGATGGGTTGACACATATCTGGGATGTGAACCTATTCCTCAAATCATAGAGTGCTGTAAACCAATCTTATTTCAACAACAAAAAATAAATAATATGTAGGGTATGTCTGATATTACAGCCAAAGAAAAATAAAATGTGGTGGTTAAAGGATTCAAATCCGACAGTAGAAGGAAAAGGTACAATGCTTGGAGAAACACTCTGGAGAAGAGAAAACTAAGAAAAGGTTAATTATTGTTATTGCCTTTGAAATAAGTGTTGTAGTTTTGTTTTTAAGATGGAAGACATTTGAGCAAGTATTTTAATAAATGTGGCAAGTAGAGAGAGGAAATAAAGCGGACAAGCTATAAAGAGATGAAAGGATGGTGGCAGAGAAGTAGTAAAGGGACTCTCCTCACGGAGGCGTCCTCTACAAGGGAAGGAAGGAAGGGTGGACACAAGAAAAACTGGTTTGTAAGTAAGGTGGCATATTGCTGAGGAAACTCTTGTCTAGTGCTTTCCGGAGTAGTCATCTAAAGAAGGAGCTGTGAGCACCTGCAGAGAGCGACAGGAGGAGGGATCACATTTTATGAGTAGAGAAGATTTGACATAATTTTTGTGGACAGTGAACAGTCACCAGGGACACAGGGGATGATGGTCGTTGGCACTGAAGTCCCAGGAGCACATGGAGGGGCGCCCCACTCATGGACCTGGCAATTTTCTGTGAAGCTAATCCAGCACAGTGCACTCCCCAGGTTATTCTGCTCACCCACTCACCAGCATCAACGAGCATCAAATTTACGAGAACGACCACTTATACACATATTTTTTCTCTTTATTCTATTTATTCATGAAATGATTGAACAGCAATACTGCTTTTTTTAATTCCTTGGAAATACATCACTTGACAATTTACTCACAACTAAAGAGGAAGCTTCTTGGGGCCACTCTTTCATAGAAATACACCACCTAGAGAGTTTGCTTTGGGCTAGTTAGAGAAACTGCACAATGTCTTAAAGAGCCACAACCCCCTCTCACGAGGGTGAACAATCTTGTTCAGGAAGATTAATGCAAAATGGATAGGGGTGGGTATGTGGGTGTGCCGCATTCAACGTGTCCTCAGCTGGAATCCTGTCTGATGAAATATTCGTGGCTTCCATTAGCTGCTAATTGGGCTGACAGTCTGGTTAAGACCACCAGCCTGGTACCTCGGTCCATAAGAAGAAAAACCACGACTGCTCAAAAATCAGGAGTCATCAGCATACAACTTGTTGAATATATTGGACTGCCTTCTTTTGATATATGAGAAAATTGTTTACAAAGCTAAACTTAGACTTTCAACTTAACCAGGTTAAATTTGTAACTTTACAGCCATCTTCTGAGATGTTGTGCATATTTATACTTTTTTTTTTTTAGATCTTTGGATACTTCTCCGAAGAAGATTCTCTTACTTCTCAGATGGATGAAGAAAATTTGATTTTCCTTGTTTCTAGAAAACAGCGAATTGTAATTTCAGGTGAAAACTTTAATCTGTCATCTAAATTAATGTGGATTTTAATACTTTTTTAAAAGTTAACATTTTAGACAACCACATTTCCATATAGTTATTTTTCATTTTATTCAGTAGCTCAATACTTGGTAAGTGGGTGGAGATGGAGAGTGAGAGTTTGGTTTGCAATATCAGAAGATAATATACTTGCAATTGAGATTCAAATGTTCACATCATTCCAAAAGATGTATTGTGAAGGGGAACAATTCATTATTCCCTGAAAAGGCTCAGACTTCATTTTAAATCGTTTTAGGCTTAAATAAAAGTATATATAAGTATACTTAAACACCTTAATAATTCATGCTCTGGTAGTAAATGAAATCAGATTTCATTTAAAATTATTCTAAAACTAAATTTTTAAGCTTTCACTAAGTAGGACACCTTCCTGCACTATCACCCTTGATTCTGGAATTAAGCCCTAAATCTCTTGTAACTTGAATCTGGGCCAATCACAAAGTGTGCTGTAGAAGGAAGTTCCCTGTTTACTTATGGTGTTTATTTTAAATTGAATTGGGGCCCCATGCACTTCCACCCTTCATAACTGTTGACTCATTTTTTCTTTCTTTCCTTCTCTCTGGGGAGAAAGAAGTATAAGAAAAGTAAAGGCAAATATCTGGAGTTTTTCCAGGTTCTCCAGAGGTCACTCCATAATCTGAGATGAAGTGTATAATCTGGTTCAAATCTGTTGTTCCTTTAAAAATTACCTGAATTTCCATCAGTCCTTTGTGAACTCAACTCACCCTCCTTAGCCCAAGCATAGGCCTCTCCAGAACTCACTTTTGGCCATGGGAACTATTATCATAAAGACATAAGCAGGTGCATTCCTGCTTCCATCACCACTAAGCCGAGGAGGGCCTCTGAGATGGGACGCAAGTTTCAGCATGCTAAATTAGAACATGGAGAGTGTCTTTCTAGGAGGCATTTGTTCAATAAACAAACATCATTAAAGTCTAGGTGTGGGGCCAGGTGCTCTTCTAAATGTTGATGACTCAGCAGTGAACAATGAAAAAACCTGTGACATTATGGAATTTACACTACTGAGAAAGACAAAAGCTTGAAGTGACATTCCAGTATATTACTATATATACATTTCTGATAGCAAATACTGTTCAATACGTACATGCATGTATATATGAGCTATATGTATATACCTTATGGCATGTATACTTATATATATTTTTATAATATATATTACATATACTTATAATATATTCATGCTCTGAATTATTAACCAATCTGCTCACACCTATGGCACTGTTTTTCTACTGCGAATGTATGGATTAGGGGGATAATATCAGAGTGTGAGATCAGCCCACTTGTTTGACCTAAGACTTTACAAGTATAAAAACGAAATTACTCTGTGAATGGCCCAATATATGTGGCTTCATCATTCAGTACAGAATCAACGATGCATAAAAGTAACTTAGCACTTTTTCAAAATGAACAAAGTCGAAATAAAACTTTAATAACAGAAGTAAAATAGTTTTATTCACACTGGAGATAATATTAGATATTTATTCTGTAATAGTGACTATGCTAGTGACAGTTTAAGTAATTTTCTTAAGATATGAAAATCTCAAAGTAGAAATGATTATAAAGCGCATATGAAATCTCATTCTCTGTGAATGTGCACACAAGTGTGTATGTTTATACGTTCGGGGGGCAGGTTTATTTTATGTTTTCTCCTGGGAAATCATACACCACATTTTCTTAGAAAGTGCCTTAGGTGCAGATTACTGTAGCTGGCAATAATTAAAAATGAATGACTAATGGTTTTTATTCTACTTTAATTTTTATCAAATGGGGAGATTTTTAGAAGGGGTTGCTTTCTTTTTCTTTTCTATTTTTAAAAACAAGCCTAGCAAATGGGTTTTCAGATCTTGATGGTTGGAAGTTAACATGACTTTACATCATACCAGGTAGTAGAAGACGGGATGTGATTAAGTGCATTGTCAAGATTCCTCAGCTGGATTTACTAATAACAGCTTCTCAGAAGGGGTTAATAACAGTCTTTAATAACCAGGTGATTGCAAATTTGGATCCCTCCTTTGCTCCCCGGCTCACCTTTCCCTCCTGTCCCTCTCTCCTTCCCGTCTTTGCTTTTGTCTGTGCATCATGCATTTGTATTAGATACAGCATCATCATATGGAGAAACCATAGTGCTAAGCTGTTACAAAAAATAGAGCCCAACATCACTAAAATAAGGAAATCATTGAGCCCCAGAACAAGCTGAGACTTGGTAACGCCTTTGACATTGTTCCTCAGAGGGGCATGTTAGGCCGTGTGGTATCAGCACAACTAGTGCACAATCCTAGACCATTTCTCAGATGAAATTAGAAAATCTCACCAGGGAAGTGATTTTGTCATGATCTTACCAAGTAATAAAAGGTCCCAATAAGAACCTTGGACTTGCAGTAAAAGAATGGCTGAAATTCTGGCCCTTCTGTTTCACTAACTATAATGTTAAAAGGTAACTTAAAGAACGTCTTCCATTTTCATGTCTCTTTTCCAAATTGTGTAATGAGAACACCAGGACCAATCCTTTTCCCCCTCAGAGGATTTGTAGTGAAGGTCAAGTAAAGGTAATGAACCATTTTATGAGCAGTAAATTCCCATAGAAATATAAGGCATTTCTATTATTAAAGCCATCTCCTTCCAAAGCTCCAACTTTATGTCTTCCCTCTTCACAATACGAGAGATTTAATTGGAAGCTATAAGGACATAGTTGAAAGAGCATTACAGCATGAAATAAAAGGTAGCTGGCTTTAAATATCAAAATAAACCAGTTACTAGCTCAATTCCAACTAGAAACAAGCCTTACAAGTCAAATTGATTTTAAGTAGTCACCACATTAGTGAATGTAAACAGTAATTTTAGCCTGCCAGTGTCCCCAGGCAGACTGCTGCTGGGCCTGGGCTGTGGGGGAGGCGCCAGCACAGGTGGGTCTGGCCTTCCCCTTCCGGGCCTGCATCAGCACTTACACCTGTGCTAGCTCCTGCTTCACCTCCGTCACCGGGTTTCTAGTCATCAAAAACCTCCCAAGGTAGCTATGTGTTTAGATGAGCTACTACTCACAAAGTAATTAGCATCATTGGAAACATTCAAAAACATATTGGCAATTGTGATGAAGGAAAAATGAGGTAAAAGCAAAAACAGATTTGCCCCATTTAAATAGGAAAAACTTCCTCCATCTCTTTTTCTCTGTCTGCATTATTTTTCTTATTTATTACCGTTGTTTCCTGAAAAACAGAACAAGGATTATATCTCAGGGAAAATGTGAGGGGGATGTAAGGGTGTAGTCATCAGCCTTCAAGACGTCGTAAAAGTTAAAACTTTTCCAATTAAACAGTGCATATTCTCCAGAGCAAGAGGGGGTTTGGGGAAAGTAGAAATAACAAGTATGTTTAAATCAGGAGATGTTGTATGTTTTAGAGCGAGCACACATTTTTTTAACCTTAGTGCTGACTTGACTTCATTATTCTCTATTTTTGTTTATAGATGAAAGTTCAGTCCAGCACCAATGTTACAGTAAGTACGTTAGAACATTTCTAATTATGTCAAATCTAGGACTCTGACGATGGCTCCTCTATAGTTAATCAAAATCTCTGAAGTGCTCCAACAGGCTCAGAATCAGTCGTTTTTTTATGGACTGCATATGTTGATGTTTAAGACTAGGATAAACTAACCCTTGAATAGTAGCATAGAGGACCTTGCTTTCTGGAGCTAAACTGTAAAGCGTGACTTACAAACTGGGTGCACCTTGGAATTTTCTACTTGAAAGCCTCCTAAGTTTTCTGAGTAGACACCTGGAGGGATATAAACGACGGACACAACACAGGTGTGAACATTAGGAAATAGCCAACGAAAATAATTTGATAACATTTTACTTTAAACTTCAGAACAGCATAAAAATTCAAGTGCAATTTAATGATTTATCTAGCCATATTTCCCTTTGGAAAGTATTCCTGAGGCAGACGATGAACAGCAACGTGCTGCTTACAGACTCTCTGCCTGGCTTCATGGGGACATGCCTGTATTTTCCTCCCAACTTGCCTGTGCACTTATCACTGAATTGCAGAAGAGGGCGCCCAGCCAGCTGGCCCAGGACTCCAATGCCTGTCTAAACCTCACAGCCTGTTTCTGAAGCTTAAAAAACCTGCTAAAACTCCTAAGGGGTTTTAAGGAAGGGTCCAAGGTGTGCCTGAATAGTGCCCGGGGAACAGGCAGCAGTTTGTGCGAGAGCAAGCACTCAAAGTGGAGCTGCCGTTCCCGCTCAGAAGTGTATGGTCCTGGAAATGACACATCCAGCCATGCTAAATTGGCACCTCTAGGCAAGACACACGACAGACTCACTGGCCAGGCTCTGGCTGCCTTGTGCTGCAGTGGACTGTGTGGAGAATTGAGGGTGAGAGTGAAAAGGAAAAAGATCAGAGCCTGTCCTCAACATATCAAAAGACCAGAAGTGTGAGCCCCCCGGTTCATAAAGGGGCATGTGGGGCTTTTAATGTAAATGACCTGCTCTTTAGTAACTGTCCCCAAGTGATGGAACAAAACACATTATAATCCTTCCCCCAACTGTCTGATTTTCTATCAGGACACCTCTTGGATTACAGGATGTGATTACCTCTCTCAGCTGAAACGAATTGTTGCCACGACAGAGCGGACTATTATTGTTTGGGATTATAAATCTCAAGGGAGCAGCCAGGTACTTTGCCAAGAGAACTAATCAAAGAAATAAAATGGTCTTTCCCATACTAATAGGAGATGAGCATCGACTTTCTCTTCCGGACATCAGTTTCCTCATATATAGATTTGCAGGATTAAAAGGGTATACTCAACGTATTTTATGTTTAACTTGCAGCGCTTTATTTTTAGAGAAAGTGTAATTTTTCTCTTTTATACTCTTCTTTGTCTGAGTAATATCTTTTCTAGGCTTTTTCATATACTTACATTATCAAGTTCAAAGCCTTTCTCCCTAATCTATCTAAGAACATTACAAATGCCTAATTTTGGTAAAAAGCATTTTAATGGGGAAGATTTTAATGTTCATTCCTTCCGTGGCTGAGATGTTAACACTTAACAAAGACACAGCATTTATTGAACACTTACAGACATACTGAATTTGTGCATCTTCCCTGTACTCAAACTAATCTCAACAATCTTGAAGCAAGGACCTCATGAATCCACATAACGCAACGACACAGCAAACTGCACAGTATGAACAAGTCCAACAGAGATATCATTAGGAGAAGTGATATTCTTGGCAGTGGGATTAAAAATCCTCAGCAAGCAGTTTGACTTTGATGGAACTGGAGGATTAAAAAAAAAAATCCCTGAGGAGGTTAGAGAAGGTTAGAAAGAAAAGTATACAAAAAAAGATATACATATACATGCATACATACATACACATGTATATGTATATATGTGGGTATATATGTATATAAATATATATGTATATTTATGTGTGTATGTATATATGTGTGTGTATATATATCTCCCCCAGAAAACTCTGGATGGCCTTTCACCTGTTGTTGCTGCACAGGCTGCCAGCACCATCACTATGCCACGTAAGGGGCACTTACCCAAACCCCTGCCAAACATCCTGATTCTGTCTGCTCTTAATGGGTTGGTGAAAAACAGGAGATAGGAAGATTTAGAGAGGAGACAGGAATAAATTTCAGCTAATGAAACATTCAGTCTGTAAAACTGAGATGAGAGTCCCACTGATTATGTGAATTGTTTAAGTTTTATTATTTAATCAATGGAAGAAATGGAGACTTAGGAAGAGTTGTTAAAACCATTTATTACTTTGCTCGTTAACTAGAGTAAACATACCTGAGATGGCCATCCTTTTACTTAGCATAAAACTATAAAGCTGACAATAAAACCAGAGTCCCTATTTATCAGATTTTTAAAAATGTTACACTTAATAGTTTCATTGCAAAAAGGTTGCATTATCAGAGGCAGTAGCTACTCAGGAAAGTTTATCCTATGGTAAAGATGATTAAAAGGAAATAGAACTGCCATTTTTGTGTTTTTTTATTTATACTTTTCTTTCTAACCTCAGGGATTTTTTTTTTTTTAATTTGAAGTTCCTTGTGATTTGACTATCCTGTGAGAGGGATTTTCCTCCTATATTAATTTTTTTTAAAAATTTAAAAAGTAAATTACATACAGTAATAAATAGGTAATTTGGATAATTTTGGACTATTGAGTATTTTTGTCTAAGTATTGTGTTATATATAACAATTAAAATTCATAGTCAATATTGAGAAGCAACACTTATTTCAGAGAAAATTCTAATTTTATAAGTCACATCATAATTATGTTTTTAACTTCTTTTTATGCATTTCCTATTTTGTTAACTGGTCTGAATCATGAGAAATAACCAGTAGCTGCTTATTTTTAAATTGGTAGAAAAATTTGAGTATTAGTCTATTCCCTCTGCATAATGATAGCATCTTATTTTTTAAAAACAGTATAAATGTAATCTTGCAAGAGCAATCTTAAACTATCACAATGAAACTTAAGAAAACTTGTAAGCATTTACCTCTCCCCCAAATTATCACATTTCCATTTCTTGGAGTACTACATTAGGGAATGTGATTCTTAATTCTTCGTTCTTTCTGTCAATAGAACATCCATGCCAGGACAATTTTTTGGTTTGCTTTTATGTCTTAGACTCCCATATTTGTTCATCTCATAAAACTCTTTTGCAGAGTGATGAAAGCTATGTAAATGGTTGCCTTGGAAATTATCAGTTATAATATTGTAAAGGGTGTGAAATGACATCTTTATTTATAGAACATTTTAAAATAAAGTTAAATTTAAATTAAATAAAGAGCCAACTTAACTTTCCTCTGTGCTACATTTGCCCAGTCGTGGTGAAAAACTAAACGTTCCACGCTTGTTCCATGTTGCAACCAGCTATGATGCCGTCGTGATTTAAAGAATCAGATGGAGGCTTCATGTTCTTTGCTATGTGATACCTTACTATCTCCCACCCTGCAGTATGATGGCAGCTGTCTTCTCTGTCCGTTTGTCCTGTTTTCACTGTTGCTTTTCATTCCATATAAACCTAACATTTTCCTGAATCATCTTCCACTTTTCAGTTCCCCTCCCTGTCCTCTCGGTTCCTCCTCACCTGCCCCCTATGGGAGAATCATCTAGACTGAATCATCCTCAGCCTCCATTCCTGAAATCTCTGTCTTTCCAAACTCTGGTTTTGGATGGACACTATCACCCTTCTCTGCTCTTTCAGAGTCATTGCACGGCTGGAAGAACAAATTCATGCTATTTGACATCATGAAAAATTCAGGATCTGCAGGTTCGCCCCAATGCGCAGCACCTCCCAATAATCTCTTCTTGTTCCTGCCAACCCTCTTGCCCATTCCTGGTAGTTATTCCAAAATTTCATTTTTTTCCTCTGGTCTTACCTCTCAGCAGATAGTCTTACCCTTATTTTCCTGAGAAAACTATCTACAAAGTGTGTCCTCTTTCAAATGCCAGCCCTCCCACCTACAGCTTTAACTAGCAATGCACCTTTCCTTCTCTCTGCAGACAAAATATCCTTGCGTCTTACACCCACAACCCCTCCTGCCTAATCAATTACAAGACTTCATATTCCTTTACCTTTTTTTTTTTTTACATTAATCTCTCCTTCTAGGCTCCTTTCCCTCAACCAATTCAGGTCCAGAACAAAGACCATCATCCCTGATCATTGGAACTAAAGTGATCTTTCAGTCACTCTACTTCAGCACCCCTGTTAATTTCCCATTATTTGAAAGTGTCTGTGTTAGTCATCTATTTTCCAACACTGGATGGTAGATTTACACAGAGTCACACATTTTTCATATTCATCACTTGCCCTTGCTTAGAATAGTTCTTGGCATAGGATAGCTGTTCAATAAATAGTTGTTGAATGACTGAATGAACCTCTTAATACACTTAAGTTTAACTCATTCTAAAGGAAGCAAAATAAAATTACTATAAAAATAAATTTTCTTTCACTTTAAGTACAGAATAGCTTCAGGAGAGCAATGATTATGTTGTTAAATAAGTCCAGTTGGGCCGCAGAGTCAGTTTGACAAGTGCAGACTAATTATGGGTAAACTTGAATGTTAGAGTATTTTTCTACTGACAACACTTTTTGAAATAATTGAAATTTTTATGATTGATTTTGCTGTTTACCATCCTGTTTTATGTCAATGGTTTGGTTACACCTGAACCTTTTAATTGGCTATGATTATATTTCTTAACATTAATTATGAACATAATTAATATTGTTATTAATGTTTCCCTCTAAATCCGAAAAAAGAACACTCATAATACACATACAAATGCATCATTCCTTATTGAGCCAAAGCCTGAGAGCTCACCCTTTTACTCTGAGTGTTCATTGAATTTTACTTGATGGATTTTTTTTGAAATCAAGGTTGTTTAACTGTGGGTATTCGAAATAAGAAACATCTCAAAGTAAAAGTTGAATCAAATTATAGTGGCAGTCTTTGTATTGACTATTTTGATAGTTGTAGCAAAGTAATAGTTTATTTAAAGGCTCCCTCTGTTCCTAGGAGAACTATTTTGTCATAAAGCCTGTGGATCACTGCCTTCTCTGCGTGTGTGTCGCATCTCTGCCCGATCAGCTCTGCAGAGATGACATCCTTTTGGGGGATGATGGTGGTTTTGTGAACAGATTCACAGTCAACAGTGATGACTTTGGACTTAAGCAGGCAAAATCAAAAAAGAATTCGCAAAATCAAGTTTTAGATTCAAAGAACTTTAAAAGGTAAGGATACGCTACTTTGACACAGACATTGTTCGAGTATTTACATAGTACATGTGATGTAATTTGCATAAGCAGTGAAGTGCTAGATGACATGGAAGAGATTTGAACTGTAAAACTAAACAAGAAATACTTCTTGCCTAAAAATAGGGAAGACAGACAGGGAAACTAGCAACTGAAATTCTTATTTTAAATATTGTCGACAATTAAAATCTGTAGGTACTTAAATGAGTTAAGAATTAAAAAAAGATCATGAAAAAAACTATAATATACATATAATTATTTACTAGCACATGAATATGGAAGTGTGCTGTGAATATAAAATCCATGAATATAGAATTCAGAGAAACGTTTGACAGTATAGTATACATTAAAAAAAAAAAACTTCTGGACATTTAACACTTCAGAAATAACTAACTGGAACATGGATTTATAACAAAATGACAGACAGTGTTTAATATGGCTTAATATTAGATTTCAATTATAAAAAATCACCCAGGAAAAAAAATGGTAAAGGCCATGACATGTAATTTATACACATAAAACAAATAATCAATAAACATTTCAAAATTATTGTCAGTGAAAAATACTAACAATTATCTCCAGCTCACAAGATTTTGGGTGATTTTTTATTGTCTTCTTTATCATAGTAATGTATTTGAAGCTTTTAGAGTAAGACTAATTAAGTGAATATTTTACTGTTATTAGCGGAAAGACACATTTTGTAGTAAATATGCCCTCTATTAATCAAATAAATACAAATTAAGTCAGATAAAGCACCTCACTTAAAAACTTGAGTTGCTTAGTGATGGGGAAGATGCTGTGATTTGGACATTCTCACGTACTGCTGGTGTAGAAGTGGGATTAGATCACTTCTAAAGCAGCTTGGACTGATGCATCAGATGTCTTAATAAACATACATTGAGCCCTGGGGACCCCAGATGTTTAAAATGATAAGTATAGAGCATCACAACATTACTCCTAATAATAAAATATCTACAATACAACAATATGGCAATTATTAAAGCTTTAAATAATACATATAGCATATGAATATATCAATATGTTATACCAAGTCTATAAATATATATTTGAAGTCTATAAGTATATAAATGTATCTATACATACATAATATATTTTTAGGTGAAAATATTTTTGTGAGAGTTCAAAGATATTCTATGCATTATAATTTAACCATATTAGGGAATGCCATGTATCCACATTAAATTATGTTTTTAAAACATTTAATAATATGGACACTATTTATGATTCAGTGCTACATAAAGTTTTTTTGTACATATGAACTCAATTTTATGGGGAAAAGACAGATGTATATGTGCATTTCTAGTTAGAAAAAATTGAATGTAAATATACCAAAATATTAACAATGATTCACTAGTTTAGGTGACTCTTATTTTCTCCTTTTTATTTTCTACTTTCTAAATTTTGACAATGAAAATTTTCTTTTACAACAAGAAAATATAAAAAATGAAAAAAATGTATTTTATCTCAGAACATGTCATTAAGAGCTCATTGCAACTGTAATTGAATCAAGACTAACCCTTTGCTGGAATCCCAAGGATGGTATAAAGGCAACTATCTGGTTACCCATGTAGCCATTGTCTGTTCTTCATTATGTGCAGTTTACTTTATTTCACAGAAGTAATAGACATTTCCAGCTGCTCATTCAGGTATCAGGCATTTTATCCCATTTCAGATAGGCTCATAGAACAGATGCTGACACATCGCTGTCTACTGAGTGGCCTGTTTTCCATACCTATTAAAAATATATGATAGAGGGCCTCCATCGTGGCACAAGGGGTGAAGGCTCAGCACTATCAAGCTATCAGAGCCATTGCAGTGCACGTTCGATCCCCGGCCAGGGAGGTGACCACATGGTGCAGCAGACCTCTCCTGTGTCACCCACTGATCCCTCAGCAATGTGTTTCAGTGGATCTGCCTGTTCTGCCCTCCACTCTGTCTCTGTTTCACTCCCTGCATGTCTGGCCTTCACCCAAGCTCTTTTATGCATAAATAAATAAGATAATATATATACATATGTACATTAGAAAAACGATTGAACTGAGCTGTAAGGAATCTGGTTACAGTTAATTCATATTTAGTTCTTTGGGTGACTGTTTACATGGGTAGTATTTTCAAAAATACATTTACCAGCCATTTGCATGTCTATATAACTTTGAGGTTGCATATTCTTTTCCTTTCTTTAAAAGATTTATTTCTATTCTTTCAGGTTAAGACAAAAAAGTAGCAGTTTTTGCCACTAATGTTGAACATGCTCACTCAGAGTCCTGTGAACTGATTGAGCAAGTGTTTGATGAGGACTATGACAGCTGCCTGAATTTCAGCCTCAACAGTGAACGCAGAGCATAAATTTCCAAATTCTTCATCTTTGAAAGTATTTGTCAAAAATATAAAAATGAATTGAGTCACCTACCATCTAAAACTATATATAACACAGTCCTCCATTTCAATGACCAGAACGTCATTGAGATTATTCCTTTAATTTTGATCTGTAGCTCAAAATTTGATGATAGCCGGTTAGTTTTCCATTTTAAATATGGCATACTATGAATTTTCAGCTCAAATTATGTAGTGTATAGGGCATAATTACATGCAGGCTTCACCATAGTTCATAGTTCTGATTTCACTATAAGTCAAAGAATACTGAATAGTAATTTGTGCTTCTAACTTATGCCCACTTTGTTATTTTGATTTCCAGTGTTAAGAGGAAACTACATAATGACTGGGTTGTGAAAATCAGATATATTTCAGCTTTAAAATGCTTTGGCTCTTGCTCCATAGATAGTGTCCATTCATTAGTTTTGGAATCTTTGAAGAGACTTGAGGATAATTTGTAAGTACAGTAACATGTAGCTCATTTCCGTAAGTATCCTGTGACTTGCAGATTCTGAATAGTTGATAAGTCTGTGGTTGCCTTGGATATTTTACGTGGGTTTTCAGAAAAATCAGGTGTTGATCATTCCATTTGCTTAACAAGATTAGCTTCAAGGAGGAACTTGAAGTTACTTTTGCAAATCTGAACTTGATCTTACCGGCAACAATTTTGCTTTATCTCTTTTTCTTGCAATTGGAGTAAATCACCATAGATGTATCTATATTTTCCAAATATAGCTATTTTGGCTAAACTTTATATTTTTAAAGTATTTCTTACAGGTCTGTTGGTTGACTGATAACCCTTTCACTATTTGTCATAATCATCATAGATAGGTTACTTTATATTACTTTATATTGTACATTGTTTTATTTTATATCTGGTTAAACTTTTATTAACTATTAATATTAATAGATATTTTATTAATTAAAATTTTTGTTGACTTTTAATAACTAATGTAGTTAACTATGTGCTAACAATAATCATATAATAATAAAACTTAACACATACTCTATACTATATATATACGTGTATATATGTATATATATATATATAGAGAGAGAGTAACTATAAAACACCTATTTTAAAGAACAAATTGAGATATATGCTACAGCATGGATCAATTTGATTTAAAAAAAATTGTGCTTAGTGGAAGAAACCAGAAACAAAAGACTGTAAGCTGAATGATTCAATTTAGGGGAAATGCCCAGTAAAGAGAATGTTGGCCGAGACAAGCAAAATAATCAGTGGAAACCTGGGGTTAATAGTGAGTTAGGAATGCCAAGTGGGCACAAGAGAACTTCTGAGGATGGTGACTACTCTAAATGTTCTGCTGTTATATAATGCTATAAATTTAGCAAAAAGGTGGCATTCTGCACTTCCATTTGGGTGAATTTTATGGCATATTAATTATAGAGCAACAAAAGTATCACTTAAAATATACTGAGATTCAGTTCTCAATTTGGCATAAAAGGGGAGGAACATTTCATTCAGCAGGAACAACAAGTAAATTAGCATTTCATTGTAGTAACTCTAATCAAAGGACATGGGGGGGATGAATCAATATATTAGGAAAGGAGTGGGAAGAGGTAGCAGGTTACAGTGTACTTTGGGGATAATATCAACAAAGCTTGAGAGCAAGCTGAATATGGGTAGTGAGAGGGGAAGAATTGTTTGGCTGTATTCTTGGCATCACTTGCTACAACCGGACCCACTTAGCCATGTCTTCTTGTATGAAGACGTGATATATCCCTGCCCATCTCTACAACCAAAACATCCATAGCTGCAGAGTGGAGGACTATTCCCTTTTAAGCAGAAATACTGCAAAGTGCTATGCTCATAGCACTGCATTTGGGATTAAGAAGATGGCTTAGGCCCTCCCTGGTGGCGCAGCGGGTTAAAGCACAGCACTGAGAAGCTGAAACCACTTCTGCATGAGTTCGATCCCCGCCTGTCCCTGAGGTGACCACAGGGCGCGGCAGACCTCTCCTGACCGCCCGCTGCTCCCCTCAGCAGTGTACTTTGTCGATCTGCCTGTTCTGCTCCCCACTCTGTCTCTGGTGAAGTCTTTCGCTACCCCTGAGTCTCTGGCCTGTACCCCAGTTCTGTATATACAAATAAATAAATCTTTAAAAAAAAAAAAGAAGAAGAAGATGGCTTAAGTCAAGAGAAATTTAATCATTTCTCTGGGTACGTGGATTTACCACCCACCTAGAAGTGACCCTAGTGAACATAAATATTTATAAATTAGAGTTAACATTATAAAGAAAAATACCCAAATATTATATCTAATTTGTGTTTCCCAGGCCTGTCAGAGAGTTTTCCATGCCAAGAGGAGCAAACAGTTTCTGTTATTGTACAAAAGCAAATGTCATTGTCACTGGAGGTAAGAAATATCCTGCTGAGATTTCCTGGATTACAAACAGTGCTCTCCTGGGGTAATCTCATGGTTTTCATTAAAGTTCTATGATTTTACTGATAGAGAGTTTAAAAATTTGTGAAAAGTCAAATCTATTGGTGGTTTTTTTTTGTGGCATCTGGATTTGTGGAATATAGAGAAATACAGCAAATGTGCAGTCAACATTAAATCAATAATAACCTGATTTCTTTCACATTTGCCTTGTTTATGAATATCCAACTAGAAGATTACCTAATTATTTTCTATACTAATTGGCTTGAGATGGATCAATTTGTTGGCATAAAAATTCAATATAAACAAATTCACTTTGTGTCTAGTCAAATACTTGCTACTTAATGAACTAAATGACCATTTTGAATTTTTTACATATAAATTATGACTTTATAACGTATTTTATTTATAAATGGCACTTTTGGTTGTAATGCTATTATATACATTTTCCCCTTCATGTCCTAAAGGTATTTAGTAATTATAACTTATCACAGCACTAAAAATTTATCACAATATTTATTTGTAATGTAATGTCATATTCTATATGCAATTCTGGAAAAATCTTAAGTCATTTACTTGCGTCAAAACAAATAAATTATTTAAAACCATTAATCTTTAATACTTATTTCCTTCTTTTATCTTATGAGAGCTGGACCATACAACTATTAGAGTCCCAATTTAAAATACTATTCAGGTTTTTATGACTACACTTCCATGATGACATTTAATTATTTTTGAAATAGGAAATCCAATATCTTGAAAGCCTTCTGTATTTTCCAAACTATTATTCATGGCTTGGCTTGGCTTAAAAAAAAAAATAATTAGATTACAACCTTGTGTTTGTTCTAATAATGTTAGCTGCCAATAAACCCTGAATGTATAATAACTCAAACACAATGAAAATGTATTTCACTGGTCAAAAGAGAATAACCCAAAACACATCATGAAAGGGAGTTTTGACAAATATAGTTTAGCTGTGTGTCATGCCTAGCTAGCTAATCTTTATCAAAAAAACAAATGCACATATTTATATACATATGATAATACATTTTTGAATTGTTAATCACATCTGAATTCTAATAAATCATGGATAATGTCAACATTTATAATGTATTTTACATGTGTGCCTCAAAATAAAACTTATTGATTTGTTATTGAGAAATGATTATCTTCCTTAATGCTTTCTGAAAACAACTCAAAGTGTTTAAATATGAATAAAAATATATTACACTTAACTCTGAAAATGTCTATTGATAAGGCAGGAAAAATTTGACAGTAATTACCTACAGTGAAATAGGGATCATGGTGGGAAAGAAAACAGTTTTTTTATAAAAATTATACCATGCCACAAAAATCAACTCAAAGTGGATTAAAGACCTAGACATAAGAACGGAAACCATAAAATACCTGGAAGCAAAGATGGGCCAAACACTACACGACAGACACTTCAGCGACATCTTTAAAGAGACAGCACCCAGTGCAGCAACAGTGAAGGAAGGGGTAAATACTTGGGAGTACATCAAGTTAGAGAGCTTGTGTACAGCAAAAGAAACATTACAAAAAACAGACAGACATCCCGCTGACTGGGAAAAAATTTTCTCACACAAAACTAGCAGTAAAGGATTGATCACAAAGATATACATAGAACTGATGAAACTCAACAAAAGTAAACAACCCCTTCAAAAATGGGCAGAAGAGCTAAAAAGACACTTCTACAAAGAGGAAATGCAGATGGCCAACAAGCATATGAAAAAATCTTCAACATCACTTATAATAAGGGAGATGCAAATTAAAACCACAATGAGATACCACCTCACCCCAGTGAGAATGGCACATCTTAAAAAAACAAGAAAAAAAAAATGTTGGCGAAGATGTGGAGAAAAAGGAACTCTCCTGCACTGCTGGTGGGAATGCAAACTAGTACAACCACTATGGAAAACTGTGTGGAGGTTCCTCAAACTGCTAAACATGGAGCTTCCTTACGACCCAGCAATCCCACTCCTAGGTATCTACCCAAAAGACACAAAAACACTGATTCAAAAAGATACCTGCATCCCCATGTTTATTGCTGCTTTATTTACAATTGAAAAGACATGGAAACAGCCTAAATGCCCCAAAGTAGATGACTGGGTTAAAAAAATGTGGTACATATACACAATGGAATATTACTTAGCAACCAAAAAAAAAACCACATGCTTTTTGCAGCAACATGGATGGAGCTGAAAAAAGGTCATACTTAGTGAAATAAGCCAGAAAGAAAAGGAAAAATACCAGATGGTTGCACTCATAGGAAGAATATAATGGACCAGGATAGAAAATAATAATAATGAACAGCTGTATACCAGGGACTTTTTATGGGGGTGGAGTGGGGAAAGGGATCAAAAACAATGGGGGGAGGGAAATGCACTGGACTATGGTGAAGGCACACGGGTGATCTGGTGATGGGAAACCCAAGGGGATTGCAACTGAGATGGAAAAATGCACAAAATGATGTAAAAATAAACTATTATATTACTTTAAAAAAATTATACCATGCCATCCATGTTGTTTAATACATTGCCACGTACTTATATGATTTTATAATTAAGTAATAGTGTCGCTGCTGTGATAGTAACTATGTATGTATGTATGTATATCTATATATATACATATATATAATGGTTTTATGGACATGTGTTAGGAGGTATCATGAAAAAGTTGATTTGTTATAATGTGAGAGATATTTGAAAAGTTCCTCTTCCTTTGATTCATTTTATTATTATATTTTCATAATAGTCATTATATTTTCATAGTATATTTTAATAATGTAAAAACAAGAGAACAGTGGTCTTAAATACTTGTGGAAAACAAAGTATAAATAATAGATTAATGCATGAATGAGAAGAAAAGCATTGAATCAAATGAAGACCTCATAAAATATTTATGAGAATCCACATTTGTATGTGCAAATACAATTATTACAAAATATCTTGACAAGAAGAAGCAGGAAGCTAAAGACAGGTTTGTGAGAGAGAAGGACTTTAAGCTTCGGCTGTGTACATCTGAGAAAATAATTATGCCCCCTTTATTTCAGGGGATGACAAAGTGCTCCGTTTGTGGCACCCCAATATCAGCACCAAGCCTGTTGGGAAACTGGTGGGCCACATGTTCAGTATCACTGAGATTGTAACCAATGAGAAAGATCAACATGTGATCAGTCTTTCTTCTGCAAAGGTAACATAAATGAAGCAAAATATTTTTTCCCTTAGAATACATTATTGGAACATGTAGGATAGATAAAAATCTGTACAGAAATAGTTGATAGTCACTGAGAAAATATCGTCAAGGTCAAGAAGGAAATGATCAGTCATGTTTCCTGTTTCTACTGACTGTATAAGAAAGAAAATTATTAAAGACAAGGATCACATCACTGGGAATAGCCAATATTATCCTCCGTAGAAAAACACAAGGGCCTCCCCTAGTATAGCCAAGAATATCGTCATGAAAGACAGAAAAGTTAGGGACTTTTGTTATCATCATCATCATCAGTGTTTCAAACATTCTAGCCATTTGAATAAAACAGGATAAAATGAGTTTGTATATGGAAAATGAGAGTGTTGGATCATTGTATTTGCAGATAATATTATTTGCTTGAAAATATCAATATGGTAGGAATGTAAACTAGTTCAGTGCATATGGAAAATGATTTGGAGTTAAAAAATATTAGATTGCATCTATCATATGATCCAGCAGTTCTGCTCCTCAGTATCTACCTGAAGAATCTTTAAACTTTTAGGACAGAAGTTCATAATGACTTCAGGGCACAGTTCCCTCTAGCTCCTTCTTGGCATGGATGATGAACAAATTGCCCCCACAATAAATTTTTATGTAAAAGCACTACTCAGTTAGGAAAAAAGTGGTCAGAGGAGCAGCATTTATAACAGCAAAGATATTAAATACCTTAAATTGATCTTAACTGATATTATCCACTGTTAATATAACCAAGATGTTTTTCTGAGGTGCATTTAAAATCAAAATAAAGGGACATTCAATCTGCTGAGATCACATAAGCATTAAAACCTTAATGACTACAGTAAACGAGCAATTTAGGCAGAATTAGCAAACTGGGCACATAGTTTTTTGTCAGAGCTGTGTCATCATCATCATAATTATTAATTATAATAAAATTACAATTTTTACACATTCAAAATTACATGATTTCATTAGCTTTCATGAATTTTAATGTCCCTGTGACTGGTCACATGCCTACTAAATTCTTTTCTTAAACTCTTAGATTGTAATCCTTCCTCTTTTTTTTAGAAGCCCACTTTGCAGATGTTCGATGTTTAGCACAGCAACTGCAGAACTTTTATTAGTAGTTATAGAGCCTTGATATTTAGCAATCATATTACATCTACACCTGAAGAATTGGGAAACATTAAAAAAAGGAGAGAAATATAAACTTGACTTACTTTCACTTATTAACAAATAAATGGAAACTGTGGTTGACTGTTCTCAAGCATGGCTTTTTGTTTACTCTTTTGTGTGAAAATAGAAAGCATGCACGCTTTGATGACTTGTAACAGTCCACAGATGGGCATATGAGTTATTTATCTTAAATTTTCACTTCGGACGTGTTATAAAGGCTCTCAGAGAGGTCAGCACAAGTGCTCTAATGTGCCTTAGAGCATGAAGCAGTGTTCTGGTCAGTTGACAAGTGGGGTGGAGAAGTTTGGAAATGGCTAGAGGGGTTGTCATCCTGGCTTTGCAGACTGGCTGCGGTTCATCTAATTTATGACCTAAATCCTAAATGGAAATTATATTATAAGTGAAGATATGCTACTTTCTTGCTTCTGGACAGCATGCCGAAGGGAGTGACCTCAAAAATTGGAGTCTTAAGATTGAATAAACCTAAATTTAAGTCCTGGCACTGACAGTGACAGTCTGTGACCTTGGTTCAGCCATTTGGGATGGTTGCAGAGGATATCAGAGAAGCTCCCTTAAGGTTGATGCAGATTGAAGGAGATAATGCACGTCAAGCATGTAACTCTGTTGATTTGTCCTTTTTTTTCCTGTACATCTAAAACTATATTAATTTCCCACTTCAAATCTCCTTTTCCTGACTTCATGCTTTTCTCTGATAATGGTGTCATTTGTTTCCTGATGAACCGTGATCAACTTCACAGCTGCTTCTGAATCTCTGAGCTCCCTCACCCTCCACGGACCAACGCAAACTCTGAAATCTCTTACACCAACCACCTAATTCTTTCTAGCTGTAACCTTAGTTCAGACCACCAAGAGTCTCTTAGTCAAAAGTGGCATATTAGAAGGCACTTGTAGTCCTACACCAGTCTTTTCCCCCCAAAATCATCCAAATATTATGCTGTGATGCAAATCACCCTTAACCCCCAGATAACCTTTTCAATGCCCTTCTTAAGTGTTTTCAACAGCATCTGTGCCTTCCAAATAAAGTTCGAATTCTTTTCTTGTTTTGAAGGTTCTCTATGTTCTGAAACCAGATATATTTTCAGCCTTGTTTCTAATTTTTAACCTTCAGACAGTCTAAGGTTCACTACATATTTCTCCAAAGACTGTGCTTTTCCACCTTTATCTGGAATAAAACTCCTCCCCCATACCTAGTTACTGTATCCATCCTTTATGTTTTAATGAAATAGCATGTCCTTCATGAATGCTTCACTGAGAGAAAAATGAGGTTGACTCTCCTTGATGAATAAGAAATGTATGTACTTAGGATATGAAGGAAGCTGACCCTTTATAATATACTTCCTTTAGTTGTAAAAATCAGACATCTTTCCTGGAATTAGTACCTTGCCTTTATCTTTGTATGGGATTACTGTATATGGTGTAAGAGTAAAGTGGATTTTTTCCTTATCTGAATGGGGAGGGTATTTAAAAGCATCCATGATTAAGAGCTTGGTTTCACTACTTACAGCATTCTACCTTTAGTACCTTCTATCTTTACTCTCCTACTTGCAACATTCTTTCCTGGAAAAATTGATCTGCAATATTATTAAGAGTAAGAGTTAGGTATCTCAAATCTTATTCAGAGTGGCTACCTGAGAAATTTCTGGAAAAAAGCAATGTGTTAGTAAATTTATAGCATGTGAGTGGCCATCTAGAAAGAAAAACTAAGAAGAAAAGCAAATGTGGGCACATACTTAAGTATTCAGTTCTCAATTTGCCATGCTTCTTGCTTATATACGGCTTTATTTTGCTTCACAGCTCATTGTTAATCTTCAAAAGAAGTCCCTGTTGAGGTTCTCAACCATTTCTCCAAAGAGAATGTCTCTTCCCTTCTGTAATTATAGAAAATTCTAGCTCCTTTCAGCAAACTGTTCATCGATGCTGCTACTTTTTTCTGGTATTAATAAACAATAATTGAACCATGAACCAAGTTGGAATTTAACAAATGTGTGTTTATCATATACATAATTTATAGCAACTTTTTTTTTAAAGTTTATTTATTTGTACATACAGAACTGGGGTACAGGCCAGAGGCTCAGGGGCAGCGAGAGACTTCACCAGAGACAGAGCGGGGAGCAGAACAGGCAGATCGACGAAGTCCACTGCTGAGGGGAGCAGCGGGCGGGTCAGGAGAGGTCTGCGGCACCCTGTGGTCACCTCCGGGGCAGGCGGGCATCGAACTCGTGCAGAAGTGGCTTTAGCTTCCAGTGCTGCGCTTTAACCAGGGAGGGCCTATAGCAACTTTTTAAAAGTAATCTGCAGACTCTGAAATTCCTTCATCTAATAACTTTGAGTGGGGGAGAAACTGTGTCAAATGGCGAACTGTGTTCCTTATCCCCCCAGGTTTTCAGGGTTTGGGATATACAGACTCTTTCATTACTACAAGTCTTCCACGATAGCCAGGGAGGACCCGGAGACATGCAGATCTATTCCATGATTTATGATTTCAACCGCAGCATGCTGATTACAGGTAAATGTGGCCAGTTAATGGCAAACAAAATACATACTTTAATTTAAAACCTGAGTTTAACTAGTTTTGAACACTAGTTAGAAGAAAAATATGATGAAGGGAATTTATAAACTCTGATTCAGCACAGCATATATATAATTCAGTGCCATTCCTTTCTACCCTTCCATAGCTGGGGGTATAAAATAAGTGACCATGCTTTTCTGAAAATACCAGATTAGTACTATTGTGTCCTTGAATCGAGTAGATGTAGATGTGGCCTGGATTATAGAAACAAGTAGGATACAACCTGTTGATACAAATAGTATAAATCCAGCAAATCCTTTCAAAAGGAATATGATCCAATTTAGAATGGCTGTACCAGCATACTGAATCAATGCCTTATTCAGCCAGAAAATTTGGCCTCATGCATTTTGCCATTTAAGTAGTTGGTCAGGAGGATACTAATATTCCCACCTGCTGCTTCTAGACAAAATATAGCAGAGAAGAGCATAGTCTTGCATGACAGATCCATGGTATTAAAGTCAATTGACTTGTTACCTCCTTTTCTTGTGTCTCTTAGAAATACATATTTATTCAGAAGACAAAAACACTGCTATGCATTTAGGTTGGGCACTAATGTACAGCATTAACAAATTCCTTCCTTTAGAACACCAATTTACAATGCCTTTCCTAAGTATTTTCTCATTGTTCACCTGCTCTGATTTCCGGAGCATTAGTAAGAACAGGAAGTTATTGGTGCTATTTCTACTCATATAACTTTTCTGATTAGGAGTGCACTAGCACTTTATGCTTGACAGATAATTTTCCACCTTGAAAAAAATAATTCTAATTTTCTATGTGGTTCTTTGTATATTGTTTTAAAGATTTATTTATGCATACATGAACTGGGGTGAGATTTACTAGAGACAGAGTAGGGAACAGGACAAGCAGATTGACTGAAATAGACTGCTGAGGGGGGCAGTAGTGAGACAGGGGAGGTCTGCTGTGCCCTGTGGGTCAGCTCCCTGACCTGGGATTGAACCCTTGGTGCAGTGACTGTAGATGGCTTCATCGTGCTGTGCTTTAACCCGTTGCACCACCAGGGAGGGCCCTGCTTTACTATCTAGTTCTGTTTTTACTTCAAAAATAACATGGAAATGCCTGCAAGCAAATTTTGACTTCTTGGTGCCCCAAATTGTGTATTTAATTACTAACCTCAACATTTGCATACCTTTTACCATCAAACAAGGACTCAAATATCAAGACAAAAATAAAAAAGGAACAGAAAATCAAGATTACTTCCCAAATTTATGTACTATTATAGTATTTCCCTTACAAAAATAGAGAACTCTATATTGCTTAATAACTAAAATTGTATATACATAAACTATAGCATTTGCTTTGACATCAGAATTATATGAAACTTATCTATCAAATAATAACTTGTCCTGTGAGTCTGATGAAGTAGCCATAGTGATCTTCTAAAGGCCCAGTATGGCACACTGCATTCTGGAAATGCTGCAATAGAATATACTGATGTCACTGCCACTGCTGTTGCTATTATTGCTCCTGTTCTGACAATTACCACTTGTATATTTTTATAAAGTGCTTTCATATAAGACTTATTTCCTTGATCTGCACAAACACTTCAAGAGATAGGAATTATTATTTATCTTAGTTGACAAAGCTGAATATCAAAAAGTTGAACTGATTAGGACACAAGTTGAAACATAAAGCTAAGATTAGATTTCAATGCTCTGACTCCAAAATCCACATTCTTCTGCTGTACTCCACTGTTTCCATAAATATATATATGTAATGCTGTATCTATCCTTTATATATAATAGCAACATAAATAGCTGAAAACATTGAGGACTAACTTTTGTTGATAAGCATATACTGATTTCAGTTCTGAATAATCAGTCAGTATAATATAAAATTAGCTACCAAGAAGTTCCAAAATACTGTGTGATTATCTGGTTACTACATTCCTCTCATATTTCCATATCCAGATATTTAAATTGAGAGTTATTACTAGAAGAGTCATCTCAGACCTTTCCATGAATGGATTTTTTCTTAAAACTTAAATACCTTAGGAAAGTGTTTCACAACTCCCAATGAAATTTTTCTAAAGGTTGAGATTTCTTTGAGGAGACTTGAGAAACACAAAAATAAAGGAGAAAATTTGATTTTATTTGAGCTATGGAAAGCTTTCATGTTATTGTTATTTCTAGACATTACAATAAAACAAAACACACAGTTGATTTTGAGAGTTAAAGCAGACTTGCGTTTTAGAATATTATTGTAAAGCCAGACCAAATACCTTTGGATAAATACAAATAAGGAATATCTGCTCTCCATGGTGACACGGAAATGAATCTTATTTAATATTGATGCTGTAAGCACTGGACTGTAATCATTTTCATTCATTACATTTAATAATACCAAGTTTACAGAGTGTATTATTTGTTTTTTGAAGAGGGCTGTCTGAAAATACTTGCCACTCACTAACTGGGACTTTATCTCCAGTGGGATCCTGGCCATACCCTTATCACCTGTAACAGATGGAGCCACTCTATAGGAAGAAAAATGTTGACTAGAAATAGGAAAAGAGGGACCACTGTAGAGAGGATATCAATGAAATTCAAAGAGCCTGCATTTGAAAATTAATGAGACCTAAGATGAGTGCTTTTTTCTGTATGAATCCCATTTGCTTCACTTATCAAAAATGTGTCGGGGAAATAAATGCATTTTCACCTAATTTGATTTCTTAAGCATTGATATAACTAACCTCACTGATTTGTTTCCAAACACAACTGGCTGGGAAAAAAAAAGTAATATCATGTATTTATGAAATTCTTATATCTGTTTCAGGATCTAGTGTTATTGACATGTATCCTTTGACAAGGATGATACAAGATACAAAACAGATTCCTCATACTCATGACCGAGAACTCAATGTTATGCTTTACAACAAATATTTTCACCAAGTACTTACTATCTGCTCTGAATCTGTAATTAAGGTAAGTAGATATTGACTCCTCAGGAAGTAAAAGGCAAAGCAGATGGGATTTTGTTTTTTGAAAGGTAGGGCTGTGAATAACTAAGTGAATGTAATGCCATATATCATGAGATCCTCAAAGAGAATAATTTGGAAACTTTTATGAACCCATGAAAGACAAGCAAGCCCAGACGTGCTCAATTCAATAAATAAATCTTGCTTTACTATCAAAATAGGAATTTTAAAAT